CCTTATACTCAAATGGTCACACCAGTTAGAGCTAGAACCTATCAATTAGTAGTGTTACTAGATGGGGCCTGCTTCTTGTCAAAAATACTGAATCTTGAAACTGATATAATGTTATATATCAATTATATTTAAATTTTAAAAATTTATTAATTAAAAAAAATACTGAATCCTTCAACAATTCAAAGAAAAGTAAACCAAATTTTACATACCGTTTTATTGCTTGAAAATTACTTCAACAGAGACATGTATGTTGCTGGTGACATTTTCAGTGGAGGTAACAATTTTAACCCACATAAAATTAACTGGAGGAAAAAGAAAGTAAATCAAAAGAAAAACCTCATTCCACTTTTATTGGGGTAAAGGAAGTATGCAACTAAATTATTATCCTTTATTCAGTGAGAAGCTCTGGCTTTATAAACCTAATTTATGTACTCAGTAGATTACTGTAGTTGATTTGCATGCTTTTTAAAAAGTTGAAACTCTACTTGGACACTTTTTATAATTCCAAAATGAATTGGTCTTTGACAAGTGGGTCACTACTGCTTTATCCTTACCTCTGATTTAGGATACTTGAAGTTGAAAATAGTTTCTCGCCTTTCATTTGATTTCAATTTTCACGTACACTTTCCTTGTTTTTAACCTCTTCTATCTGTATAAGCCTGCAACCTTTGACTGTCCAAAGAAAGTCCATGTAGTGTTTCTACATCCCAGCTTGCTTGGTATCAGATCCCAACACTTTCCAAAGAAAAGTAAGGGTCACCAGAAATTATATTTATCTTTGACCTTTCCTGATCAGATGGGTTGTTTTATGTCCTTTATATTGCATGTAAAGTTTTAGAAGCATATCAAAGTAAGGACGGGATTAAATAAAATGAATACAATCATGCAGAGTTACTGGATATGTTATAAATAACATATCACCATGAATTTGTAAAGGAATGAAATGCATTTAGGGCATTTTCTTAAAATAATGTACTTCATTTATGCCTTTCCATGTGCAGCTTGTTAATGAAAATCATGAGGTAGAGGCAAAATGTGGGCTTATTCCTGGTGAAGTTAAACAATTGGAGCTATTTTGTACCCAATACTAAGAGGGGTTTGGGAATCATCTGTTAGGAAGGCATTGTCACTCTATTTAGATGTGCCTTTGTTTGTTGATAATGTACTTATATACAATTTTTTTAAATTAATTAATTTATTTATTTTTGGTTGTGTTGGGTCTTTGTTGCTGTGTGCAGGCTTCCTCTAGTTGTGGCGAGCAGGGGCTACTCTTCGTTGCAGTGTATGGGCTTCTCATTGTGGTGGCTCCTCTTGTTGCAGAGCGTAGGCTCTAGGCACTTGGGCTTCAGTAGTTGTGGCACGCAGGCTCAGTAGTTGTGGCTCGTGGTCTCTAGAGCTCAGGTTCAGTAGTTGTGGCACCCAGGCTTAGTTGCTCCGTGGCATGTGGGATCTTCCTGGACCAGGGCTCAAGCCCATGTCACCTGCATTGGCAGGCGGATTCTTAACAACTGCGCCAGCAGGGAAGCCCCTATATACAATTTTGTCACAAGAAAAGTCATTAGTTTTATATTCTAGTAGAAAAACAAAGGATTTGGAGAATAAAGTCAACATATAGTGAAGTAAGCGCCATCTGATTTCCTATCCATTATGCCAACTAAGAATAAAGTCTGTCCTTGGATTTCAAAATCAAATATTTCAATTAAAAAAAAATACTCTCAACTAGAAGACATCTGAAATCTATGGGTTATGGGATTGTATGAGCCCATTTGTGTGGGTACTTGTCTTAAAAATTAGTGTCTTTTTATACCTATCTCTGCTGCCCACTCTATTTTTTTCTTGTTGTTGTTGTTAGATCACCTTTTTGTTATTCATTGGGAATGCAGTGTAGGTTCTCTTTTTAGCTGAGTCTCATCAAGAATCTTCAGGAACTATGGTTGATTTAAATCATGCCATATCGATCATGTTAATTGTTCTGTGAGTGCCAGTTAAAGGTATGAGGGCATATTGTATGTCTGTATGCATGTGGGTGTATATGTATTCTTGTGTTTTTATGTACTCTTTTCAAAATCATTCAAAAGGCTTCCATTTCCTCCAGCTGTATTATTTAAGACTTTTCTCTCTACTTTCCCTGCAAATAATGACTGTGTTTATCTACTTTGTGGCACAGGGCAGTTATTATAAAAAAAAATAATGAACTGATTGTACGGATGTTCAAATCAGTGATAATCATTAAAGACATAAAATTATAATTGAAATATTTGATGTTTCCTTTGGAAAGTACAAAGGGAGGCTTAGCTACATGTGATCTATCCTCTGGCACAAGTATTTGCTTTCCTGTGAATGTTGTTAGCCTGTGGAGGTGAGATAATGGTGCCACAGAAGCTATCAGAATTTAAAACAAGATTTCCTTTGTTACTTCATTCTTCAGATATTTCATAGAAGGTTCTATGACAGATATTGTGCAAACACTGAGAATACAACAATAAACACTACACATAATACCTGACCTCATGGAATTTCAGAGTTCAGAGAGAAAATATTAATTGAATATGCAGTTACAGGGTCAGTGCTTGTTTCAAAAGAGCATGTATCAGGTGTCAGGAAAGCATATATTCAGGTGTCCTAATTTAACTTGGGGACGTCAAGGAAGACCTCCTGAGGAAATAATGTTCCTGCCAAGAAGACTCCGTTAATGAGTCGTGTTTGGCTAAGGAAAGGTGAGGATGGGATGGGATGGGAGTGAGGAAAATCTTGCAAGTAAAGGAGAGTGCAAGTGCAAAAGTCCAGAGGTAAAAGGAGGGCTTTAGAAGAATGGAAAGAATTCTCATGAGGATGGAAAGAGGAGACCAAGACAGTGACAGCCATGAGATGGGGCAGGGGAGGTGGGAAGAGACCAGATCGTGGAAGTCATCATAAGCCTCATCAGGTGGTCGAGATTTTATCCTGAAGGCAATGGGAGGGTTATAATAGACAAGCGGCATGATAGGGTGTTGGCTGACATGTGGAGAATGGGTGGGATTGCTGTGGAGAGGATGCAGAGATGTCTGTTATTATATTGTAGTAGTAACTGGGCAAGAGGTGATTTGCAGCCTAGATTTGGGCAGTGTCTGAGGAAATAGATCATTTCTGATGATGGGAACACTCTAGCATGAAAAACAGCACAAGGAGCCACATAATTATAAAGTTGTCAGGAGAGGTATAATAGTGTAAATTGGTATGAGTGTTGCTCTACACACAAGTCCATAGAGCAAAGGGTATGTGTTTTTGAAAGTATTTAATTTGCTTATCAAATTATGTACATAAACATGTTCATTACATAAATCACATATAAGCCAAAATACATATTCATCAAGAATCATGCTGCCATAAGACAAGTAATATTAAATTTTAGTATATTTTTCCAAATATATTGATATATGTATACAAGCACACAAAAGAGAACGTGAAATGTACACACTTCTTGAAAACAAAGATAGGCTTGGAATTTGTGCTATTTTATCCTTTTAAAAAAATTATCAATATACCAAAAATATGTTCCCATAGGATAAAATACTATAACATTTTAATAATTTCATAATACAGAGAGATATCAATTTTTTTTATTAAACTATATATTTGGTTCCACTTTGGTATTTACATTTTCAATTAAATACTAATATATGAAATATTTTCAGTCATATAAAACTTCAAAGGACAAATTGATAAGGTCTAAATGATAGTTCTTTTCTCCTTCTCTAAAAGTGTGTGACTAATATGGTGGGTTTATGGTGGGTAGGTATAGTATATAAATAAAACTAGCCTAAGAAAACATTTATTAATTATTCTAAATCTGAGAAAAATGTATATTTTATCTTCCCTAGTAAAATGCTCCAGTCTTTTCTTGTGGGCAGTACTACCTACCATTCAACATTTCTTTCACCTCTGAGTCCTCATGTGAGCTATTACCAAAATGTGTCAGTTCAAAATTCCACATTAGTTAATTTTCATAGAATAGAAAAACTTCTGGCAATATACATGACTGAGTGCTGAGATGGCAGTCTAGATTCTTCCTAAGTGCTTTATAGATCAAGAAAACAGTCATCTATTTGCAAGCATTATTCAAGGTCAATTTAAACTATGTTTTTATCAGATGATTTTTTATTCAAAGAATCAAGGCTCCCACTTAGTTTAGAGCTATGAATAGGGACCACTGTTGTGGCTTGTATTTGTTCCTGAAGTTATCGTGCCTTCTTTAGAATAGTTTAATAAATATTTGAGCATATAATTTTTTCCAAATGTCATACGCCTCAATCTGTCAAGTTTTAAATGAAACTGAAGGACACTCAAGAGTCACTTTTGTCAAAGCCTTTTCCTATCATAACATATTTGATGATGCAAGATGTATTCCCTTGTGATGTCCAAGTGGTTGATAAACCAATTTGTGTGGAATATACAAGAACTGTTCAGACTTTGTGGTTTCCTTAAATGAGATGAATAAGAATTTCTCTTTTCTGAATAGGACATAAAGTATGCTAGGCCTATTTTAGATGCTTCAGTGTGCCGAAGATGGTATTAAGTTTGGTGTTCATAAATTACTAATCTGGAATAAGAAGAGATTGAATGTATTTTGAAAACTTAAACCTGTTTCACCTGAACATGTTTAACTAGTTAATAAGAAACATCAAAAAGACAAAACCCTGAGATCAATGTTCATTTTTTTGTAAAGCTATTATATGCTGTTTAAACTGGTTGTTCGGGTCTGTCTATAACATAAGTTTTAATAACCTAGCTCAAATGCAGATTTCTAATTTTCAATTAACATAGGAATAATTTTGTTTGCTAAAATAAAATAAATGAATGAATGACAAGTCTGAAACATGAAATGTTCTAGGTAGAACTTTTTAAAATTCCAAATTTCAAAAAAATCATGTGGCAACTGTATAGCTCAAGCTTTAAGTATTAACTTTTAACCTTTGACCTTACAGATTTTAACCAATGAAATGTCTCTTTAAACTTTAAAGGAAACAATGATAACGAGCGCCTGGCGATTGCTAGACAGCGAATTCCATATCGACTTGGTCGAGTAGTTGATGAATGGCTACTCGACAAAGGTAAAAAACATTGATTAAAACTTCAAATAAAAAAATAATTTGAACATAACCAAGTAGTACTTCATTGTAACACTAATAAACATAAAAAATAAATTTTCCGTAAAACTAAATTAAAAACAAATTTAAAACAGTAAAATGTAGATAGTAATATTTGCATTCCTTGTATAATAATTTCTATACATTTTTAGACGTACCAGCTGTTTAATAATCTTACCCTGTTAACTTAAGGTTAAAGGGACTGTTAAATATAATCCACTAACTCAATCTATGAAGGTACTCACAGAAAGCATTAACCCAAAATGATAAATCATTTATAGATTATATTACATGTTCCAGCCTCTAAATTATTAACTAAAATATATGTAGTTCTGATATCTTCATTATGGTCCTGAAAAAAACAAACAAAAAAAAACAACTCTTGGTTTAAACTCTAGGCATCTTAAATAGTGGGCAATATGGATTGCCAGTCAAAATGAAGTCCCTTTAACGTTTGCAACCTTCTAAGAGCATTTGGGAACAAGCCCTAATTAAAACTGAACTTAAAGTTGTGTGCATGCTTTTTATGAACAGAGAACAATCTGCTAAAACTGGATACTCAATTTGATGATATTGGTACTGTTGTGCTGAGGATTGCTGTTTGATGGAAATGTGCCATAATTTCTCATCGGTTTGTGTATCATTGCTGAAGCTGCTTTTTACATCTGAAGCTATATTTTTTTTTCATTTTGTTTTGTTTTAATAGACTTGCTGAAAGCCAATCAGAAAAATCTTTCTGGATTTTTTTTGTCTCTGACACGCTCAGTGTAAACTATGTGTTTCTTTTCAGTGTATTTGCCGGAAAACAGAATAATTCAAATAACAATGGACTATTGCCTTCAAAAAATACACATTTCTAAAGAAGAGCATATAGATACCTGTGGCCATTATGTGAATTATGAAATTTTTACCATAAATTTAAAATCAGAGTTCAGCTGCTATAGATGAGTTTCTACCAGTGGTAATTTTAGAATGACAAATACTTGAAATATTAAATATCTCATTTTTAATTAAACAATTTAGACTTAAGAGACCAACAGTATAAGATCTTGAGGTAAAAGGGGAAAGGAATCCACTAAAAATTAATTTATAATACGTATCTTTGATTGGTCTTTTAGCAAAAGCACTACATTTATAATAAGTTGAGAATTTACAAGTATTTGCCAATGATTATGCATTTCATGGACACCTCATTTATAAGCAATGAATTATGAGTCAAATGCCTCTCTTATAGTTTATTGCTCTCATTATCCACCCCATGAAAGATCTGTTTTATCATCCTTTGTAGAATGTAGAGTTCACAATCAACATTTTTGCATGTATGTAATATTATTTTTACAGGGCGTCAGCTCACAATCTTCAATAGCCAAGCAACCATAATAATTGGCGGGAAAGAGCAGGGCCAGCCCTTCCAGGGTCAGCTCTCTGGGCTTTACTACAATGGCTTGAAAGTTCTGAATATGGCAGCCGAAAATGATGCCAACATCGCCATAGTGGGAAATGTGAGACTGGTTGGTGAAGTGCCTTCCTCTATGACAACTGAGTCGACAGCCACTGCCATGCAGTCAGAGATGTCCACGTCAATTATGGAGACCACCACGACCCTGGCTACTAGCACAGCCAGAAGAGGAAAGCCCCCTACAAAAGAACCCATTAGCCAGGTGAGTACACAGATTTCATTTCTTCATTCTGGATCTGTGATTATGAAAGTGGACTTTTCTACATATGTGTCTTTTCTAGAATGGGATTATTTCTGATCTCAAGCATTATGGCTTTTTTAAGACTTGCTTAATATAATGAATTCAGTTTGAGGATGAAATGTGTATATGCTGTTGGTTTGTGGTTTGTGAACTTTTATTGATATATACTGCTTTGTGATGGTTTGTGTGTGGTTAGTTGATGGTCTTGATTCAGTAACCTTGGTCTAGCCCAAGCTGAGGGGATTGTCTACTAATTACACAGGTTTTTCACTTTTTAAGTTAAATGAACAAGTTAAATAGTGAAGTATCTGAAAGGCCTTGTTCAAGCTCAGCACTCCATCAAAATAGAATAAAAGCAAATTTGAACATCTTAAAAAAGAAATTGCCTATAGCCCTTCTATTGTATTTTGAAGTCTGAAAATCTTGAATTGGTAGGCATGTGGCTCTCATCGTGAATGATAAGTCTACTATTTTATTGTTTATGGGAAAAGCACACCGTTAGTTTATCTGAGGACAAAGACCCAAAATATGGTACGTAAAAACTGTCTTGGGGGCTTCCCTGGTGGCGCAGTGGTTGAGAGTCCTCCTGCCGACGCAGGGGACACGGGTTCGTGCCCCGGTCCGGGAAGATCCCACATACCGCGGAGCGGCTGGGCCTGTGAGCCATGGCCACTGAGCCTGTGCATCTGGAGCCTGTGCATCCGGAGCCTGTGCATCCGGAGCGTATGCTCCGCAACGGGAGAGGCCACAACAGTGAGAGGCCTGCCTACCGCAAAAAAACAAAAAAAAACAAAAAAAAAACTGTCTTGGGCCAACGTATTTCGTACATTATATAGCTAAGTGCCCTCACCCATATTTCACTTCAATGAGCTTATTTTTCAATCTTATGTCTAAAATTTTTGAAAAACAATTTTTAAATGTCACACTTGTACAACTAGGAAGTATATTTATTCCATCAAGATATACTTACTGATTGCCTACTATGTGTCAGGCACTGGCTTAAGTATTGGCATTACATCAATGAAGAATAAGGAAAAAAAAAACACCTGCCTCAGAGCTTACATTTTATAAAGGCTTTTAGAATGCTGTTGAAATTCTATTAAATTCTATTAGATCTCTGTTGACATTTATAGCCTTTGTACATATTCTATTGTTATTGCTTTCAGAATTGTGTGTTCTTCTTGGCCCAAACTTGATTGTTTGCTTTTGTTTTGTTTTTGGTAGTTAGTGAATGTCTCTAGTAGGTGCCATATAAAGCTTTCCAAATATATGATTCTTACTTTTCTAGAAAACCACGTACTAAAGAAGCAAGAATGACAACAATTATTTTTTAAATTGCTTTTATTTCAGATGTTTGAAATAGATCATGTGTCACATTTAAGAAAGAGTAAAAGAAGATGAATTCTGTTCAGATCAGCACCCTATCTACTAATTACCATATGTTTACCAGAGAAAGAAGAAAATAGATTCTGATTTTTACTTTGAATTGGAAGGGGTGGGAGGAACAGAATGGAGGAAGAGAAAATGTCCTAGAAGAAGAGAGATGACCAAAAAGTTGTAAAGTCCGTAAATTTATAAATGTAGTATTTCATATTATACACCTATATGCATCACTTTTTTCTTTCTTCTCTCTCCTTTTTTAAAATTTGCATTTGGCCACGAAGTAAAATGGGCTGTCTCACAGGGTGTTCATCAATATGTATTTACTGATCACACTACATGTGCCATACACTGTTCTAGGCACTGGGGATACATTAGGAACACAAAACAAAAAAACCCCTCCCTTATGAAATAGACATTTTAGTAAGAATGTGTGCTTAGAGCATAATCATTTTGTTGATTTTCTCTGTCTTGTTTGGGTTTATAAGATGGTTAATAATCGCACTTAGCCTCTTGGATAAAGACTTGTGTCTTTAGACAGATTTATGCATATGCCCAGCAGCTCCGTTTGATATTCTTTTCTAATACTTCACTAATGATTTGTTATTGTGTTTATTGGTTTACGGTTTATTTAACGATAAGCAGGTTATTAAGGCAAATCTGATATAGGAAAATGAAACACAGAGCTATGATAGACTATTTCCTTTATGTAAAATAATTCATAAGAGGACATTCTAGGACATTCAGAAATAGCAATGTTCTTGTGAATAAAATTTGAAATGATCAGATTTTTTTCTTAGTAGTCTTGTTTCATCGTTAATGAAATTACAGCTGCTCAAGTTGCTAGGTAAACCAGATGTATCCCAAAATAAGGAAAGAATTATCAGCCTTTTATGTTTTTTATCAATTAGTACTCGCTGTGTATTAAGAAATTATGTTTTTTAAGTAAACGTTTGTAAGATAGCTATTTCATTTACAAGTTAAACACCTAGAAATGAAGAAATTAAAAATGTATGCATTTTGGGCTTCCCTGGTGGCGCGGTGGTTGGGAGTCCGCCTGCCGATGCCGGGGAGGCAGGTTCGTGCCCTGGTCTGGGAGAATCCCGCGTGCCGCGGAGCGGCTGGGCCCGTGAGCCATGGCCGCTGGGCCTGCGCGTCCGGGGCCTGTGCTTTGCGGCGGGAGGGGCCACAACAGTGAGAGGCCCGCATACCGCAAAAAAACAAAAAAAAACAAAAAACAAAACAAAACAAAACAAAAATGTATGCATTTTATAATATTAACTAATGTGAAAGGAAAACAGTTAAATGCCCATTAATTGCCAATGAAAAGAGTCTCTTTTATTGTAAGCTATAACATGTTTAAAGATAGCAGTGGTTTATAGAAGTAAATGATCTAATCAATTAATAATTACTTGGTTCATTTGAGGAGGTATTGACTTAAATAAAAGATTACTAGTTCATTAAAAAATACATATTTTAAATCTTTAGATTTTTAACAGACCAATAACAGCAGTTAAATAATTTGGATTAATATACTACAAATATTCAACAACAGTGTTTTAAAGTTGTACTAAAAGTTTGTAAAATTCTCTCTTGGGGCTTCCCTGGTGGCGCAGTGGTTGAGAGTCCGCCTGCCGATGCAGGGGACACGGGTTCGTGCCCCGGTCCGGGAAGATCCCACATATGGCGGAGCAGCTGGGCCCGTGAGCCATGGCCGCTGAGCCTGTGCGTCCAGAGTCTGTGCTCCGCAACGGGAGAGACCACAACAGTGAGAGGCCCATGTACAGCAAAAAAAAAAAAAAAAAAAAAAAAAAAAAAA